AATGATCTAGAAATAGGGGATCTAGTCATCAAACCCTTGTCATAGTCAGATTATTCGCTCCTTCAATTAGACTTTCGAGCCGCTCCCCTCCGTCGCAGGGAGACGGAACCGACTAGGTGGTTTCGTCCCAGGCAGCTGATGGACCCTGCCGGGTTCCTGATGGAGCTTGGGCTATTCCCTGAGCCTCTAACTCACGACTCGACTGAAGAACTGGTGGCCACCTGGCATAGGGCGGCCGCTGGAGCTTTGGACTGTGTCGTGCCTTTGCGGCCTCTGACCCGGTGCCGATCCCAACTGGCTCCTTGGTTCTCTGAGGAGCTGAGGGAGATGAAGCACCGGAAAAGACGCCTAGAGAGTGATTGGAGGGCCAGCCACTCCGAATCCGACCGAATGCTGGTGAGGTCTCATATTAAGACCTACCTAGTGGCGATAAAGGCAGCAAAATTGAATTATTTTTCCGCTCTTATTGTGTCTGCAGAGAATCGCCCAGCCGCCCTGTTTAGGGTGACCCGCTCCCTATTCCAGGTGGGAGCGCGGGAAGACCCCTTGCAGGATAGGGCTGAGGATTTCGTGCAATATCTGCATGACAAAATCGCTCAGATTCAGGAAGGCTTGGACTCCGATTGGGTGGGTTCAGATGGGGTGACAGAGGTGGGTCTTGAGAGTGTTATCTGGGAGGAGTTTGACTCTGTGACTCCCAAGGATGTGGACAGGATTCTGGGTAGGCTGAGCTCTGCCACATGTTTATTGGACCCGTGTCCCTCCTGGTTGGTGCTGGCCTCCCAGGAGGTTTCACGAGGCTGGCTCCACATGATTATTAATGCTTCTTTGAGGGTTTCTTCCCCTCCGCCCTTAAAGAGGTGGTGGTGAGGCCCCTCCTCAAGAAGCCTTTTCTGGACCCGGCGATATTAGCAAACTATCGTCCAGTCTCCAATCTTTGCTTCGTGGCGAAGGTTGTTGAGAGTGTGGTGGCGCAGCAACTTCCCAGGATTACCTGGATTAAGCTGTCTATCTAGATCCGTATCAGTCGGGCTTCAGGCCGGGTCACAGCATGGAAATGGCATTGGTCGTGTTGGTTGATGATCTCTGGAGGGCTCGGGACAGGGGGTATTCCTCTGTCCTAGTCCTATTAGATCTCACAGCGGCTTTTGATACCATCGACCATTGTATCATGCTGCACCGGCTGGAGGGGTTAGGAGTGGGGGGCACTGTGTTGCGGTGGTTCTCCTTCCTCTCTGGTCAGAAGCAGTTTGTGTTGGCAGGAGGACAGAGGTTGACCTCGAGGCACCTTGCTTGTGGAGTGCCGCAAGGGTCGGTCCTCTCGCCCCTTTTGTTCAACATTTATGTGAAGCCGCTGGGGGAGATCATCCGTGGTTTTGGGGTGAAGTGTCATCACTACGCTGATGATATCCCGTTGTCTGGAGGCCGTGTGGATCTGGATGGGGAGAAACAGACTTAGACTCAACCCCTCCAAAACGGAGTGGCTGTGGCTTCCGGCATCCCGATATAGCCAGCTGGTTCCATCGCTGGCTATTGGGGGGTGAGATTTTGCCCCCCTCAGAGAGGGCTCGCAATTTGAGTGTCCTCCTAGATGCACGGCTGTCTTTAGAAGACCATGTGATGGCTGTGGCCAGGGGTGCTTTCTATCAGGTTTGCCTGATTTACCAGTTGCGTCCCTTTCTGGACCGGGATGCACTGTGCATAGTCACCCACGCCCTCGTCACTTCCCGTCTGGACTACTGTAATGCTCTCTACATGGGGCTCCCCTTGAAGAGCACCTGGAGGCTCCAACTGGTCCAGAATGTGGCCGCGCGGGTGATTATGGAAGCGACTCGACGCACCCATGTGACACCTCTCCTGTGTGAGCTGCACTGGCTCCTGGTGGTCTTCCAGGTGCGATTCAAGGTGCTGATTACCACCTTTAAAGCGCTCCATGGCTTAGAACCCAGATATTTATGAGACCGCCTTCTGCCGCCGATGGCCTCCCACCAACCAACACGCTCCCACAGAGAGGGGCTCCTCAGGGTGCTGTTGGCCAAGCAATGTCAACTGGCGACCCCCAGGGGGAGAGCCTCCTCTGTGGGGGCACCCTCCCTCTGGAATGAACTGCCCCCGGGGATACGTATGATCCACGACCTGCATACCTTCCGCCGTGCCCTTAAGACCCTACTTTTCCAACAGGCCAGACTAGCTTGACAAGTATCTGGACTGGCTGTTTTTAAATTTTTGGGTTTTTTAATTTGTGGGGCCAAAGTATTTAATTTGTTTTAAACTGTTTTTAAATTTTGTATGCTATGTTATTTTATTGTGGCTGTGCACCACCCTAAGTCCTTCGGGAGAAGGGTGGTATAGAAATTTAATAAAATTAAAATAAAATAAAAATTCCAGCCTTCGTGGGTGGAAAACTCTCTTTTTGGGGGCCACTGCCATAATCATCATGAGAATCCTCTGCTGCCTCCAACAGTGTATTTTCCCTTGTCCAAGTAGCTTGCAAAATTACCTCCCATTTCAATAGACCCCAAGTAAGGATGCCAGGCAAATGTCCCTCATGATATGCCAGGTATACAGAAACTACAGAGACCATTCTAATAGTGCGTAGGTTGGGCAATATATGTAAATATATAAAGGTAGAATATTATATTTCTCCAAAGAAGAAATGGAGAAACATGTTCTTAGAGGAAGAAAGCAGCCCCCAGTCTTTCTTAATAGCTTACAGCAGACACTCATTAAGAAATCCTGGGCCAGCCTATTCACAAACAAAATACCTACACCTCCAGGTGATGGGATTAAGGACAGGACATGACCTTAACCTATGCATTGAAAAAAGTGGAAACAATACTGGTTCACGAAGGAAGGAATGCTGGAGGCAATAGATAATAGGATAAAATCAAGTACAGGGGTGAAATCCTCCATGGGTCACTAGCGGTTCGCTTGCTCACACATGCACAGTGCCTGCAAGATGCACGATGTGTGCGCACAAACACGAAATGCATGCAAAATGAACACACATGTACAGTGAGCATCAAATGCGTCATTTATCTGGAAAAACAAGCCATTTGAAGGTAAGTAGCACACGGAGGGGGGTAACAGCTGTGTCATGCAATACAGATTCATTAGAAAGCAAGATTTTCTGATTTTTAGCTAATATAAATCGTGTGTCACAGCTGATCGTCTGATATACCAGTTCAGATCAACTGGTTTTTTTTTACTACTAGTTTGCCAAACCAATGGATTTTATCACTACCGGTTCACACGAACAGGTCTGAACCGGTAGGATTTCACCACTGCAAGGAAGTCATAATTAAGACCCATCATGAGCCTTTGCGAAACAAGTAAAACTAATCAAATAATAAAAGCACACAAAGCAAAGCTCAACATTACAAAATACTGTAAACTGTATAAAAATCCTTGCACTCATCAAGCTACTTTGTCAGCTGTCCCAGAACTGTATGCTGTGATTCTGCTCATCAATAAACAGACCTTCTTTCCTAAGCAGCTAGCCTCCATTTTATTTCCAGAGCCTCTCTCTCAGCTTGGAACTGAACCAGATGGATATTTCTTCCAACATCCTGCTGTGATTTTTTCTTCTTGGATGTACCTGCTTGTTACCCTGGTGGTAGCGGCGCCAAGATGCTGACAAATTTGTTGCAATAGCCTTGGTATTTGAGCTCTGAGAAAGAAACTACGATGGAAAATGTTTCATTTCTAAAAAAGCATTGTGCTGCTCTTTAAATAGCTTTTGAGAATGAAAGAAATGGGTGTTGTCAGCATTGCTGTGAATGTGGGGGTAAAGCTGTCTTCCCAACACACGGGAGATGTTTCCATTTTCCTGACTCGCTGCGCCAATCCTACTCCTGGGATCATTGTATGTTGATTGGATAAAACTGAGTGCCCATAATTTTTCCTGCAGCCTTGGCTCCGCCCACAGTGTCGGTGCCCCGTCAGTCTTTTTCACTCAGTTGATTAGGATACACCTGAGTGCCTTTTCTCTGGAGTAAAACGATTGTTTATTGGATTTGGTGATATTGTGGGAATTAATTGGACTTCCTAACTGTAATTTGTCAAAAGACAGAGAGCTGGGCTACAAGTACTGTGAGTTTTGCGAAGCGCCGGTTTCAGCGCTGGCTTTAAAATGCCGATCCGCCATTTTGTATTCGCCTGACAGTTCAGAGACGCGAGCAGCGGTTTCGGCTAAATATTTAAATTGCCAACCCAGCTCTGTTATGACTGCGATAGACAGCTGAGAGGCGTTATTTCAAATTTCGCCCAGCTGTGGGGACTGCATAAAGGGAGCCAGTCGAAGGACTGGAGCCTCGGCTTCGGTCCGGGTCTGCCTTGCCGAGCCGGTAACTTCTTTTGATCTCCGTGGGACAGCTCGGCGCGTAATCAGTTTTTCGCCCGGCTGAGAGGCGCGCTCTTTAGTCCCAGTTGTGCCACTGGTGGTGGAGCTGGTTTTGGTCTGCCATATAATTGCCCCCACCTACGCAGCTCTCTCGACCATGCAGCTCCAGGGTCCCTGCCCGTTAGAGGCATACCCTGATGATACATGGCAGCTTCGTGGCGGTTGAGGTTTTCCCACCATTTGTAATTTGACAGCCTATTCAAGAGGCAGACGTTAACTAGAGGCAATTTGAATTTAACAGACTTATGGTACTTGAGTATTGTACAGCATTGTAATTGGGCTTTTTTCTATTTCTTTCCCTGCATGAGATTGTGAGGCATTGCTGAAAATTTTTCTAAGGCTTTGTTCCGGTCGCCATTTTGTTGAGGAGGTTTCTACTGACAGCTCCCAAGTTTGGCGAAGTGTGGCGTGCTGACACGGTCAAAATTCCTGCAGCCATCTGTCTCATCTTCCCGTACATCTGACTGGAGATTGCTTAAAGGGAAGTAATTATTGATTATTCTTTGATCCTAATTAATTGTTAATTAATTTTTTTTAAAAAAATGAAGAAAAAAGAAAGCCTGTTTCATAGTTATGGCGGATTCTCCTCTGTCCTCAGATATTGATCAGGAGATTTCCCCTTGTAGGGCTCCTTCTCCTAAACCTGCGGGGAAAAGAAAGGCCAAAACCAGAGGTGTTGTTAAGACAGCTTCCAAGCCCGCTCAAGTTGAGGGTAATATGGACAGGCATGCTGCCAGATGCCACCATGCTCTGGAGAAGCAGTTTAACAAGGCTAAGGCCTCCATGCAATCTGAAGATCCTTCTCCTTTAAATGCTGAGGATCATGTGGCCCAGTCTCCTGTGCCACCTATATCTAATCCTCAAGAGCCCAATATTGTGGCTTGGCCACAGGGTGACATTATACTTGTGCCTCAGGGCCACAATTTACTCTGTAGTCAAGGTGAGCATGTTCAGAATACACCTCTACCTGCGCAGATGCCATCTGGTGCATCAGACTCTAACTCTGCTGTTCCTGTTTTGCAACCTCAAGTGATAGGTACAACTAATTCTGGTCAGGTGATTGACTTTCAAGATATGCTTTCTCAAGCGTTTGCCAGTTTTTTGAAGTCTACTTTGCAACATAGTACAATGCCTACCTTACCTGTGCCACCAACGAAAACAATGCATTCTGTCTCAGTGGCTAACCCTTCTACATCTAAGTCTGCTACTACCCACCAGGGCGTGGAGGGCTCTGAACATGATGACGACTATTTTGATGACTTTGATATGTCTGAGGATGATGAGGCTCTGTCTGACAAGCCTGCCTTTCCGGGACTGTTCAGACCTGCTCTTTTTACTTCCTTGCTGCATAAGGCTAAGGTTGCCACTAATATGGGCAAGGTTATTGACCCACTTTCTTCTTCACAAGAACAACCTAATATGTCTGACTCCTTATTTAAAATGCCTCAACCTGAGCATGATTATATCCCGTTTCCGGATTTATTCTCTCAGGTGATTCAACGCCCTTGGGACCGCCCTGGTTCTCTTTCTGGCCCTTCTGGCCATGACAAAAGAATGTATTGTGCCATCCCCGACCTTGAGGCTTTGCTGCAACTACCTTCGGTAGATGAACCTGTTGCTAGTCTCGTCTCCTCCTCTGTCTTGGCTGGTGATGTTGGAGATGGTCTCCGAATGGAGGACAAATGGGCTGAGATGTCGTGTAGGAAAACACATCAAGCATCTGCATGGGCAATTCGAGCTGCCACTGCTGCCTCATTTTTTAATAGGGCATCCCTTATATGGCTCCGCCAATTAAGAGACAGGGTGCCCCCAGAGGAGGCCAGAATACAACAAGATATAACCAAACTGATTGCTGCAGCCGAATTTTTGGCTGGTGCGTCATTAGATGCAGCGAAGTTTGTTTCACGGGGCCCTCACTTCTTCTGTAGTTTCTCGTCGTTTGTTGTGGCTTCGACATTGGCGAGCTGACACAAAGTCTAAATGGAGGCTCACGCCTGACCTTTCAAGGGGTCTTCACTCTTTGGGGCGACTCTGGATCCCATTCTGGTAGAGGGCCGGGATAAGAGGAAGATTCTTTCTACATCATACAGGAGACCGGATCGCAGATCTTCACCTTACGGCAGGCAGCCCTTTCGGACCGATACCGGGACCAGCGGGCCCTATTTCAACCGGAGTTACGGTCAAGGATATTTCTCCTCTTCCGGTCGATCTACCTTTCGTGACCGCGGAAGACGTCAGACCAACTTCAAAAGGCCCTTCCGTGGCTCTGGCTCACAATCCTTCCGTTGAGGCAAATGACTTTCCGTCCTGCCTTCCGGTGGGGGGGGCCGGCTTCAGGCATTTTACCATCAGTGGGAGACCATCTCCACGGATGCCTGGATTCTTCACACTATCACATATGGCCTCAAATTGGAGTTCACCTCCTCCCCTCCGGACTGATTCATTCTGTGTCCCAGGTCAGAGAATCCCCAGAAACGTCATCTCATGTTACTCGAGATTCAACACTTACTGGAAATAGAGGTGATAGAACCGGTTCCCAACGATCAACTTTGGACCGGCTTCTATTCAGTACTGTTCCTGGTACCCAAAAGTTCGGGGGATTGGAGGAGTATTCTAAACCTCAAGGAACTGAACCTCTTCATTTTATACCAACGTTTCAAAATGCATTCGCTCCAAACGATTTTAGCATGCATTCAACGCGGGGACTTCATGCAATCTGTGGACATAAAAGAGGCATATCTCCATGTGCCTATTCATCCAGATCACAGACGTTTTCTCCGCTTTGCCTTCGAAGGGCACCATTTTCAATACAGGGCCATGCCGTTTGGTCTCTCGTCGGCACCGCGGACTTTCACAAAAATTCTAGCGGCTATAACGGCGTCGGTGCGGGAGTGTTCCATCCGTATGGTCTGTTATCTGGACGATGTTTTGATCCTGTCATCTTCCAAGGCACAAGCAGACAAGGACAGACAAGCGGTACTTCAGGCCCTACAGTGCCATGGATTTGTCCTCAACATTCCCAAGAGCCAGTTGATTCCAACGTCATGTATTCTCCATCTAGGCTCAGTTATAGATTCTCTTCAAGGAATGGTTTTCCTGTCACCGGATCGTCAATCCAGTATCCGGGACCTGGTGAGGCAGGTGATTCTTCAACCAAAAGTGACTGTATTACTACTATCCCAACTGTTGTGAAAATTCATTTCCTGCATACAAATAGTGCCGTGGGCTTGTCATCATTTTCGCCAACTGCAATGGTTCCTACTGCCATTCCAATGGATGGGACAAGCGGACTCTCTGGACAAGGTAGCAGTTCCAGTCAGAGTCAAGAAATCGCTGCAGTGGTGGGAGTCCACTGCTCTACAATGCGGAACTGTCTTTCTGGAACCAGATCGAGTCACAGTAACGACGGATGCCAGTCTTCATGGCTGGGGGGCCCACCTGGACTCACACATTGCGCAGGGCACTTGGGCTCCGTCCGATCTCCGACACAGTATCAATTGGTTAGAGCTCCAAGCAGTATGACTGGCATTACTGGACTTCCGACCACATGTGCTCAACAAGCACGTTTTGATTCTGACAGACAATATGGCCACGAAGGCCCATGTCAACAGACAAGGAGGCACGCATTCCAGAGATCTAATGGCAGAAATGGAACGTCTGATGGCTTGGGTAGAAGAGAATGTTCTATCATTAAAAGCAGAACATATTTCTGGCACCGACAACTTACAGGCCGATTACCTCAGCAGGGAACATCTAGATCCCTCAGAGTGGCAGTTACATCCCCGTCTGTTTTGGAGTCTCTCCATCAAGTTTGGAACACCGATTGTGGACCTATTCGCGAGCTCTTGGAACACTCACCTTCCCAGGTACTTTACCAGATTCCCATCTCCAGCCGCAGAAGGTCACGATGCCCTTCGGTGCCCGTGGCCGAAAGGTCTACTTTATGCTTTTCCTCCAATCCCAATTCTACCACGGGTTATCCGGAAGATATTGTTGGAACAAGCCAATCTTCTACTGGTAGCACCTTATTGGCCATGGAGGACACGGTTCGCCAATCTAAAGGGCCTTTCAGTGGAACCACCTTGGCGAATTCCCCAAGACCAGATTGTCCTGATGCAAGGAGCCATTCGACATCCAGATCCAGGCTTGTTAAAGTTGACCGTCTGGCACTTGAACGGATCATCCTAAAGAAGGATAATATTCCGTCAAATATCATCTCGACTATTCAAGCAGCCAGGCACCCTTCAACTATTAGAATTTATAACACATCCTGGAACTCCTTTGCCCGATGGTGTGCAGCCAAGCATGTAGATCCTACTTCAGCCACAATTTCTGACATTTTACAATTCCTACAATCTGGACTGGATAAGGGTTTGTCGCCTTTTACACTTTGACAGCAAGTGGCAGCTTTGGCTACTGTATTGACCGGTGACGGTCGTCAACCTCTTTCTCATGATCCGAAGATTAAAGCCTTTTTGCGGGGAGCAGTCAATTTTTCACCACCTGTTATACACTGTTTCCCCACATGGGATTTGACATTAGTTTTACAGGCTCTTACGTCTGACCCGTTTGAACCTTTGGCTTCAGTCTCATTACGAAACTTGTCTCTAAAGATGGCATTTCTCCTGGCAGTGACCTCGGCTCGGAGGGTTTCGGAGATTGCTGCACTGTCTATTCATCCAGACCTATGTGTATTCTTTCCGGATAGGGTCGTTCTCCATCTAGACTCAGCCTTTATACCTAAAGTGAACTCTAAATTTCATAGAAGCCAAGAGATTATTCTCCCCATTTTTTGCCCTGACCTACACCATCCGCTAGAAAAAAGGTGGCATACGTTAGATGTCCGTAGAGCCCTACGACGTTATATTAAACGTACTGCTTCCTTTAGACGAACGGAGGCATTATTAGTGTCCTTTTTACCATCATCAATGGGGCAGAAAGTTTCTTCTCATACGGTGGGTTGGTGGCTTAAAGCTTGTATATCAAAAGCATACCGGTTGCAAGGTGTATCAATTCCGGGTGGCATTGTACCACATTCCACTCGTAGTGCTGCTACTTCAGCAGCATGGGCTACCCAGGCATCTATTGATGACATTTGTAAGGCGGCGACTTGGTCTTCATTATCTTCCTTTGTTCGCCACTATCCCTTGGACACCTTTGCTTTTGCTGATGTCGCTTTCGGCAGACATGTACTGCAATCGGTAATATCCACCCATGGTCAGTGAATGGGTCGGCCCCTCCCAGGCAATCAATGAACTTGGGCATGTCCCAGGAGTAGGATTGGCAGTGCAGCGAGTCAGGAAAATGGACGTTGTCCTACCTGAATGTCCCTTTTATGCTCGCTGCGCCGCCAATTCGGCCCACCCGCTGGCCGACCATTACTGCTGTGGGTGGTGTGTTTTTTTGCTTTCTTTCCTCTGCAGCTTTGGCGATGTTTGTTACAACATTGGTCTTCAGTCTACAGTTCCTGGAGAAGAGTCGGTGTCCCTATGAGTATTTGCTTCGTGAAAAAGACTGACGGAGCAACGACACTGTGGGCGGAGCCAAGGCTGCAGGAAAAGTTATGGGCACTCAGTTTTATCCAATCAACATACAATGATCCCAGGAGTAGGATTGGCGGCGCAGCGAGCATAAAAGGGACGTTCAGGTAGGACAACGTCCATTTCTTTCATTCCTCTCTCAGGGCTTCTTCTTAAAAATTTCCAAATAATCCCTACAAGTAAAGAGAGGAACAATAATTGGAGCAGAGAACTGGAATTTTAGCTCTGCAAATGAATCATCCTGATTGCTGAGTTTAGAAGACACCAAAGAATTGCAGGTTTGTTCATTTCACTAACACAATTCAGAGGACTGGTAATATATATATATATTTTCTATCACTTTGCAAATGATCCCTCTGCAAAAAGACGCCCACAACCAGGGCCAGGTCAGGGGTGAGGAGGAACCAAGAACCTCCTTTGGTCTGAGACTCCAGCTCCAGGTAGCTTCAAATTTAAACATGTTAAAAAGGAGTTAAAAACCCTTAAAATGGCCAAAGCCTCTGAATCTTTGACTGTAGTGCATAATTGTGCATTCTGAACCACTGTTCAGAATCTACCCCAGTGGGTTCTCCCAGAAGTGATGAAAGAGTTACTGATGGGTGCTCTAGAGATTCAACACCAAGAGGTAGATGTCAAGGCAGATGAAATAGTTTAAATATGAGTGAAGTAGGGAGATACAAGATCCCAAGGGAGGAGCATGGGAGATTTGTCAAAAAGTCGGTAAGAGTTGAAATACTAAAAAGGGCAAGAGATGATGGATAGATATAGAATACTTAAAATGGCAATTGCTTCATTAAGGGTTAGAAACAGGTAGAAAATAGAAATTGGGAAAATAGTATTGATACATAATAGAATACATTATAATTACTATGTATACAAAAATGTTGGTCATTACCTTTAAAGCCTTATATGGCTCAGGGCCAGGCTATCTTCAAGACCGCCTTCTACCACATAGCTCCCAGCGACCAGTAAGATCCCACAGAGTCAGTCTCCTCTGGGTCCTGTCAGCTAAACAGAATAAATAAATAAATAAATAAATAAATAAATAAATAAATAAATAAATAAATAAATATTAATAATAAATAAATAAATAAATAAATAAATAAATAAATATTTTTGTCCTTTTTTTTACAGTTTTTTTTGGGGGCGGAAACATTCCTTCTACCATATATAGGCAATCAGGCCCTCTTTCTTAGACTCCATTTTCTAGGCCCTGCTGTATGTTCTGTGACCTAATGGAGACTTCAGTGCTGGGGTGAAATGTTCCTGGTTTGGACCGACTCGGGCGAGTGGGTAGCGATGATGGCCGGTGGTTCGGAAAACCGGTAGCGATGGCAACTCGAGGCTCCGCCCACCTGCCCAGTCGTTGTTACTTCATGCTTTTACTTCAAGAGAACCGGTAGGAAAAAAATGCTTAAAAAGTTTTTTAAAAGTTCTGACGATCAGCTGAGCGATGCGCGATCATGGGAACTTTTGTTTTTTTACTTTTTAAGCATTTTTTTCTACCGGTTCTAGAGAAACAAAGTGCTCGGCTGCTCCCACTTTTCACTCATCCCAAGCTTCCTGCTGCGGATTTTCATGCCTTGCTTCACACGCCCTCGTTTTCTTCCTCATCCTCCTCCTCTCCAAGTGGAAAAACGCCAGGAGCAAGTGCAAAAAGAAGCGCTTGCTTGCTCCTGATGTTTTTCCATTTGTAATGAATTTTTCGTACCTGTGAAGGCAAGTCTGGCTTCCTATGCTGTTCGCTAAAAACATCACCAGTACAGCTGTGCACGCAGCTTGTGTGTGTGTGTGTCTTTTTGCTCCTGGTCTTTCGCAGCAGCCCATGCCTGACATCCACACACACACACACAGACACACACACACGCCACGCGCACACCAATACTGGTGAGATTTTTAGCGAAGGAAGCCAGACTTGCCTTCACAGGTACAAAAGTTTCCTGGCTAATGGAAAAACGCCAGGAGCAAGCAAACACTTCTTTTTGCACTTGCTCCTGGCGTTTTTCCACTTGGAGAGGAGGAGAAAGAAGACGAGGATGACAATCCCGGGCCCGTGAAGCAAGCCGTGAAAATCCGCAACAGAAAGCTCGGGGTGAGTGAAAAGGGGGATCAGCCAAGCAATTTGTTTCTCTCTCTGCCCCCCCTGGGGTCATCTCCCAGACTGGATGGCCGAGGTAGAAAGGCTTGCAATCTTTGGGGCTAGGAGGCATTGGATCTGGCTTGGTGAGGGGGATCAGGCTGCTCAGGTGCTGATCATTTTTTTTACTATTTAAAGCATTTTTTACTAGTTAAAAATGCTTTAAAAAATAAAAATAAAATGGCCACGCCCACTCAGTCACATGACCACCACCAAGCCATGCCCCCCCACCAAGCCACGCCCACAGAACCAGTAGTAACCAATTTTACATTTCACCCCTGCTTCAGTGCAAGCAAATTTACAGAATTTATACATGGCATTTAGGAGATATAAAATTTCCTCCTTCAGGAATGAAGCTTGGTGGTTGATGCTCTTGGACGCAGCCCTGGCCAGCAGGAGTGAAGCTGGCTCCCCTGCAGTGTTTGGCCTGATGGTGCTGCCATGTCCTAAAATCCTGGGAGCCATAGGAAATCAGTCTTAAAGTGGGATGTAGAGAGGTTTTGATCTCCACTGAGAGTCACCCCTAAGAAAGCTGATTGTGTAATTCTATAAAACCTTCATGAACTTTTACCTCTGAACACATAGCTAATCTTTGTAAGATAAGCAGCATCACATTTCACTAGGCTCAGAAGACAAAAACGACTTGATAGCATTTAATTAGTGGAAACATGTTGCAAAGGCCTTAGACAGAGGCTGGAGAAACATGTTTTTCTGCCTCCTGGTAGGAGATGGTGGTCAAACAGGCAACACCTGTGCCTAGAAAACGGATATCATCTGTGGTTGAGCTTAAAGGAGTTAAAACCATAGAGTACTTTATTGCTAGAGAGGTTGGAAGGCGAGGGAAGAGTAGAAGGCAGTCGAGTTTCCTTTTGAAAAAGCACCTTTGGGACAGCCAAACTTCCTCTTCCGGATGACTGATGGGAGGAAGTTGGTGTGCAGAGCGGCTTTTCTGCTCTTCCCAGGGTCGAAGCAGCAGCTGGCAGGTGTGTTGAGGGCTGCAGGTGGGAGGAGAGTCCGGGAGCAAGTCGGGCTGTTCGGTTCCCTCCACGGCCTGGAAGCGGAGGAGCAACTGGGCTGAAGCCTCTCAGCTGCGGCTGCTGCAGGTTCCCTCCCTCCCCAAATGGAAGCCCACTGGTGCTGCAGGCTGGGAAACTGGGGGCTGCAAGTTTCTGCTGGTGATGGGTCTCCCACAACTTCTGAAGGCAAATCCTTCCCCTGGTTAACTGTTCTCAGCGTCAGAAGTTTCTCCTTAGTTCGAAGTTGCTTCTCATTTTTCCAATTTTTAGCAAACACAATTCTACCCTCTGTTAATACATTCACAATCAAATATCTCAGTTCTCTATTATATATTTCAGGTACAATCCCCAGTAAAAAAAAATCTCTGGCTTAAGATCTATGTGTTTTTCTGTCATTTTTTCCAACCATGTGTGGATTTTAGTCCAGTATCTTTTTGCCTTTACGCATGTCCACCACACATGGTAATATGAGCCTGGTGTCTGATGACATTTCCAATATTTTTCAGATGTATTCTTGAACATTCTTGCTATTCTCATGGGGTAAATGCCACCTGTAAAACATAGAAAGTTTTCTTTATATGCAGTTGACATTATCATTTTATAATTTTGTGACCACAGTTTTTGCCATTTCTCTAAGTCAATTCCATATCCAAAACTTTTCCCCCATGCAATCATTGTTTCTTTAACTTTTCTTCTTCCAATGTAACCTCTAGTAAATATCCATATAGTTTTTTAATTACATTGTCATCAGTACCTGTTAAGATTTTGTCTAAATTAGTCAAATTATTATAAAAACCTTTATCATATCTAGAATGTATTTGCAAATAGGAAAACCAATTCATCTTTATATCTTGTTCTTCCAATTCTTGTAAAGATTTAAGTTCACCCTTTTCATTCAATAATTCACTATATCTAACAATTAGTTCCTTTTTAAAAATTATTGAATATGAAAATGCTTCAATAATTGACAACAAGACTGGAATTTTTAAATAGTGTTCTTTTTTAATCTACCATAAAAAAGCATGCCATCCCAACAATAAATCATGTCCTTCTAAAGTCAATAATCTGGTATTTCTTAGCATTATCCATTCCTTAATCCACATCAGATTTGTTGCTTGATAATACAGTTCCCTATTAGGCAAACCAAAACCTCCTCTTATTCTAGTATCTTGCAACAGTTTTGATATTTTCCTCGCCTTTTTACAAGGTAAACAGGTTCTACCTATTCTGTACCAGTACATTTGGTTTTCTTGCATAAGTATAAAACCTTATATTTTTCCTCCCTCGAATTTCATTTTCTTAGGTAGGGCCCAGTGTTCAAATCTATCGAGATTCTCTATCTTGAGCCTATCTTCTGAGGTATTGGCTATTCCTGCCAACTTGGTGTCATTTGCAAATTTGATGCATTCCCGTTCGATTCCCTCATCTAAGGCATTTACAAAGATATTAAAGAGTACTAAAACAGGACCTTGGGAAACCCACTGCTTCCTTCCCTCCATATAGATATAGTCCCATTAAGGAATACACTTTGAGGGTGGTTTGTCAGCCAGTTAAGAATCCATCTGTGTGGATGGATGTACCTGTCCCACATTTTTCTAATTTACCAAGAAGTAAGTTATAGTCTACTTTGTCAACTGCATTACTGAAATCTAATCATACTACGTATTGTATTGGTCCACTAATTTAGTCACTTTGTGTAAGAATGAAATAACATTTGTTTGGAATGATCTCTTTTTGACAAACCCATGTTGGCTTCTGGTTATATACAGTATTTGCTTGCTTCTAGGTGTTTGCTTCATTATTGTTTCATTATCTTTTCCAGGATCTTCCCAGGTAGTGATGTCAGGCTAATTGGCCTGTAGTTTTATGATCCTTTTTTGAAGATGGGAACTACCATATTTTTCGGAGTATAAGATGCACCTTTTCCCCCCCTAACTACATCAGCTCTTTTCCAGTCCACCGGTAGTTCCTTGGTGTGTGAAGATCTTTGAAATCTGTGGTTAAATGGTTCTTAGATCACCTCTGCTGGCTCCTTCAGAACTTTGGGATGTAATCAATGTAGTCCTGGTGGTTAGAACTAGTCCAGAATGGACAGATGTTTTCCTATCATTTTCTTGCCTGTTTTAATTTGTATTCCTAGTCTGCCTTTTACAGTTCTGTTTTTGGTAGGTTTGGCTATTTTTTCTTTTTGCCTGAAGATAGATGCAGATAATGAATTAAGTAGCTCTGCTGTGTCTCTACTGCCCGTCACTTCCTTGCCATCGTCTTCCATTAATGGACTGATTGTTTCCTTGACTTTTTTCTTGTTTTATACGTGCTTTTAAATTATTTTTGAAATTTGTTGCAAGTGTTAGTTCATTCTCAGCATGAGCTTCATTTCATCATTGCAGATTTGGGCTATATGCTGGTATTCTGCGTTAGTTATGTGTCCCTCTTTCAATTTTTTATACTTATCCTTTTTGTCTTTCAGTTTATCAGAGAGATCTTTCTGCAACCATGCTGGTTCTTGGATTTCTTGTTTTCCCTTTTTAGTGATATTGTGTTGGACTGGGCTTATATGATCATATTTTCCAGTGTTTCCCATGCTCCTTGCATTGTTTTCTCCTTCAGGATTTTTATGCAAGATGTTGCCCTCTTGATATAGTTTGTAATCTACATGTGTATTGAAAATGACAGATGAATAAAATTTACAAGTTTTTTTTACTTCCATGTCTTGCCAATAAGTATGGTATTTCCTGTCCCACCATCCATGTATTAACCAGGTTCAATTGTGCTTAATCCAGCACTTCTAAGAAATAGCTATTGAGGATCTTTTGACATATTTGGTTGCACAGGTAGTCCTCACTTACCACTTCTTCCCTGAGACTTCAAGTTACTATGGCACAGTAGAAGCAGACGTGCACCTAGTCCACAGAATTTGTGGTAATCCTAGCACTTGTTCAGTGACCGCACGTCAGCAGTGACTCTAGTTTTGAAGGTTTAGGAAAAGAAATCACAGCAATTCGGGTTCTGCCATTTATCATGGCTGCAGCATCCCACACTCACGATCCCAATTTGTAGCCTTCCCAGATAGCTTCTGACCAGCAAAATCAGTGGATATACTGGCAGGAATTTGCAAGTCACGGTCATATTAATAATAATTAATAATAATAAATAAATAAATATGAAATTGCCTTTAACAACCCACAGTAATTTGCTTAACAACTACAGAGAGACAGATGTAAGTTGGCACTGTCATGTGACATCATGCTTAATGATTAGTGACGCTCAGTTCCAATTGTGGTAGGTTAAGTGAAGACTACTTGAATTGGAATTTCACCAGAGGGGTTGTAGACAGTATTTTCTGCTCTTATTTGCAGCTGAGGACTTCCATGAGCAAAAGTGGTGCTTCAAAGCTTGCAGAGGCTTTCGGCATCATTTCATCAGCTAAAGCCCCCACATCTCTAAATTTAGCTCCAAAGGTTTGACTGTAACCAAATTGGGACATTTTGTCAGGCTTGAAAAACATAGATTTTCTCCCTGTATACATGTGTAGGTGGGTGTATCTTTATTTCTCTCTATGCATATATCTGCAATGATATAACCTATCCCCAACACTTCAAGATATATTTGATGATAATACTTTGCATTGCTAAGAATTTATGATTGACCCAACTAAATAACTGAATCTGATTGAATGGATATTTGAACATGGATCTCAATAGTACTCCATGTGTCATATGAATCATCAATAATGTAAGTGATTATTCTAGTATTGGGGCATGTTTGTTTTTTCATTGTAATATATACTTTTTTCTTTTCTCACATCTCTAATCATTTTATAAACAAAGTTACACTTTTCTTTGATTCTTACAGACAAAGAGGATGGCAATAAGAGCACTCTGGACAACTGTAAATAATAAGCAAAGTTGAAAAGGGAAGAAAATCAAGCCAGAAATCAAAATATGTTCCGTTTCCTTCAGAAAATCATACAATGATGCTCTTCCTCCAGCAGCTGTTAGACAAAAGAGAGAAAATCAAAAAAGAATAAGCAGATTATGCAGAACTGAAGGATACATTACATGAAAAGTGAAGAGAGATTATTTATCATTCAGAAAAAGAGGGAAATATCTGGAAGTCCGTGAGGAGGAAACTGTCAATAGTAAAGTCACGTAGAACAGATAGGAATACAGGCTTCTCCCTGTGAAGAAGAAAACGGCTTGAATGATAGCACCACTAAAGAAGGCATTGTCCATATTTGTTTACCTCCTCAAGAATACTGGCTGTAGAAAAGCTCCATAGATTTGCCTATTGTGGGAAAAGCACAGATTGCAAATGTCCTGATTATGGGAAAGTCACAATTCCTGCCTAGGATTAAACCAGAAGATTCACATAGGAGAGAAATGCTTTGAATGTTCTGATTGTTGGGAAACTTTCAGTTATAATTCCAACTTGGTGATAGACCAGAGGAATCATAAAGGAGAAAAACCCGTTCAATGGCCGGATTGTGGGAGAAGTTTCAGTCATAATTCCTGCCTTACTCCATGGAGAAACCTTATGAGTGTCAAGATTGTGGGAAAGGTTTCATTAGAAATTCCAACCTCCTGAGACACAGGATCACGCACACAGAAGAGAAACACTTTGAATGTCCTGACTGTGGGAAAAGCTTTGGTAATAATTCCAATCTGCTGACACACCAGAGGACTCACACAGGAGAGAAACCCTTTGAATGTCTTGACTGTGGGAAATGTTACAGTCAGAAATCTCACCTGGTAATACACCAGAGGACTCACACAGGAGAGAAACCCTTTGAATGTCCTATCTGTGGGAAAAGCTTTAGTGATAATTCCAATTTGCTGACACACCAGAGGACTCACACAGGAGAGAAACCCTTTGAATGTCCTGACTGTGGGAAACGTTACAGTCAAAATTCCCACCTGGTAGCACACCAGAGAACTCACACAGGAGAAAAACCCTTTGAATGTCCTATCTGTGGGAAAAGCTTTAGTAGTAATTCCAATCTGGTGACACACCAGAGGACTCACACAGGAGAGAAACCCTTTGAATGTCCTGACTGTGGGAAACGTTACAGTCAGAATAGCCAGATGGTAATACACCGGTGGACTCACACAGGAGAGAAACATTTTGAATGCCCTATCTGTGGGAAAAGCTACAGTGATAATTACAATCTTCTAAGACACCAGAGGAGTCACACAGGAGAGAAACCCTATGAATGTTCTGATTGTGGGAAAAGTTTTAGTCACACTTCAAGCCTGGTGACACACCAGAAGACTCACACAGAAGATAAACCCTTTATATGTCCTATCTGTAGGAAACGTTTTTGTTATAATTCCAGTCTTGTGAGACACCAGAGGACTCACACCATGAAGAAATCTTTGAAATGACCAGTCTGTGGACATTACTTCAAGCATTAATCATCCCTTATTGCACACAAGGTAATCTATATGAGGAATAGTAGATGAGTTTAGAGAATGCTGGAATTTCATTTGTGATCTCCCATTGAAAGTTTAGGTGAGAAATTGATTGTTTGAATTTTGGCCTGATTCATTTTGCTCAAACATTTCTCAGGATTAAATTTGTAGGTGGAGAGAAAAGGAAAATGGCTAACTACTAGTTTCTAGTTATCAGCAGAAGCTTCTTTATATTTCCTTTCCCAGAAGTAGTTGAATTCCTCAAAAAGGAATTTTGGGTGAGCTTTTCTATTTTGCTTTCCTTAACTACCCAAATCCCTCTGCTCTCCCTGAGGCAGCCATTAATCAAATATGTGAGTTGCTATGCTGAACACTGTCTACTCAGAGCTGGGGAAAACTCTTGGAGATCTAGTGCATGGCCAGGCTTGCGTGCCATAGGCTTCTCTAGGCCTCCTCTCCCTCCAAGACATCCTTGTACTCTGTATCCTAACCCTTGTGTCCCCTGGGCCCTTCACTCCCTCCCAGCGTCCCCTTACACCTGACTCCCACCCCACCCAACCTCACACCCTCCTCCTTCTTACCTTTTGAATATCTCTGAACCTCATGGTGGGGACAGAGGGAAGGACGTGCATCCTTGGGCCTCATGATTTTGTCCTGGAAGTAGCCACCATTTTCAGTGGACCCTGGATTCATCCCTGCTGTGAACTGTGGTAATGAACACGCCACACTACATCCTGCAGCAAACGGCAGCTTGCATGGGCTGCACGACAAGCTATGTAGTATATGGCCACTCGCAGCCACAGAAGACGTCAGACGGCTGTGCAACAAGTGTTGGGGTGTGCTTGCCCTAGCTGCGATGGTCCTAAAGTAAGCGGCTAAGAAATCCTCCAAAACTAAGAAGTGGTGCTCATTTTGAGCCCCAAAAGAAAATAAAACTATGTCTTATTTTCAGGGAAACGGGTATGTATATGCAATTCTATGAACTCACGATTGACCCAAGTCAACAAATAAATTTCATAACTGAATGGGTGTCAGGTTCCGAAATAAAAGACTCCAAATCTTGATGATGATGGTTAGAAGATGCTCTATCGGTACAGACTGACATCCATATGTCAGGAATGAGAGTAGGCTGTAGCAGTGGCTGGCGGCCTCCTGGAGACAGTAGGATCAAGGTTAGCTCGGTGGGCTGTGGCAGCGCTGGCTGCGCCGGGGATGACATGTGGACCCCTACCATGAGGACCACGCCTGGAATATAAAGATTACAGTGAGTGGTAGCACAGGTCAGGGGCCCTGGATTTGTCTGGATTCTTCCTGTGGAATCTAGTGGTCAGTCTCGGGGCCTTGACGTCCTCCATCGGGACCCAGGATGCCTCTGACAGCAGATACCCTTTCCACATTATCAAATATTGGAGTTCCTTTTTGTGCCAGGAGGTATCTAGTATGTCCTCTACCTCATAGTGTTGTTCCCTTCCTACCATGGTAGGAGGTGAAGGGGCAATCCTGAGGCCCCTCAGGGGAGTTATATGGACTGGTCAGAGTAGGCTACAATGGAATACCGGATGGGTTTTCCCTAGTAATTGGGGAAGACGGAGTTGCACGCTTACCGGATTAATGACTCGTATTATTGGGAAGGACCCTATAAACTTAGGGCCTAGTTTCTTGCAGGGTAGTTTCGGATACTTGGTAGAAAGGTACACTGGTTGACCCACCCTGAACATGGGTGGAGCTCTTTTTGTCCCCCAGCTTTTTGTAACCTGTAGCCGTGTGGTTTAGGGCTTTCTTGACGCTTCCCCATACGTTCCTCATTCGGTCTGACCATTCTTTGACTCCTATATTGGCTGGATCTATACTAGGGCACTCTGGTATCGGCATGAACTCCCTGCCCGACACTGAAATGGAATGGAGTAAACCCTGTACTGCTATGTACAGCATTATTATATGCTACTTCAACATATGGCAGTAGGTCTGCCCAGTCCATTTGCTGATGTTTGATATAGCATCTCAGGTAACGTTCCACCATGGCATTGGCTCTTTCGGCTGCTCCATTGGTAGCAGGATGGAATGCTGAACTGAAACCCTGCGATGAACCAATTCTTGTCAGGAGTTCCCGCCCAAATCTGGCGGTAAACAGCACCCCCCTGTCTGATATTTTCTGGGGTACCCCGTGGAGGTGATAGACATGAACTATAAACAACTTAACTAACCACCTGGCAGAAGGGAGACCAGGACAGGGTATAAAATGGGCTTGTTTAGAGAACATGTCTATCACAGTCCAGATGACTATATTTCCTTGACTCTCTGGTAGCTCCACGATAAAGTCCATGGCTATCTGTTCCCAGGGATGTGTGGGGTCTGCTATTGTTTGCAATAAGCCTAATGGTTTCCCTGGTTGGGTTTTCATGGTAGCGCACACCACACAGCTCCGTACATATTCCGCTACATCTTTTTTCATAGAGGGCCACCAGAACTGGCGATTGACGAGGTGCAATGTCTTTAAATACCCAAAGTGTCCAGCAGGTCGATCGTCATGACAGCACTGTAGTACCCTTAACCGCACATCTGGGTGAACAGCTTTGACCCCTTCCAAGGAAAGCCATCCCTAAGTGTAAGGACAGAGCGATTTTCACTATACCACTGGTCTCTTGGTAATGCGGTTTGGATGGCCTGCGGAACAGCCCCACTGGAACCTGCTGGGTTATAGATGGCGACTGGGTGACAATCAATGATTGGCTTCGGTGGTTTCGGTATGATGGTATGATGGCTTGCACTACCTCCTCCCTGGTGCTCTCATATTGTGGCTTCCGGGACAGAGCATCAGCCAGGAAATTTCTCCCTGTGGGTATGTATTTCAAAGTGAAATTGAATCGTCTGAAATACAGAGCCCACCTCACTTGTTTTGACCACAGCCTCCTGGGTTGTTGCAAAGCCCCCAAGTTCTTGTGGTCCGTCCACACTTCAAATGGTACTCAACGACAGGGGTGAAATCTAAAATTTGTTATTACCGGTTCTGTGGGTGTGGCTTGGTGGGGGTGGGGGGGTAATGTGACTGGGTGGGCATGGCCAACTTTTTTTTTTTTACTTTTAAAAGCATTTTTCTACAACCTTAAGAGGTTGCACAAAAAATACTTTTAAAAGCTTCTGACGATCAAGCAAGTCAGCTGGGATCGCCAGAGGCTTTTAAGGGCATTTTTTTTACAGCCTCTTCGGCTGAAGAGGTTGCAGAAAAAAATGCTTTTAAAGCTTCTGACGATCAGGCAACTCAGCTGGGATCGCCAGAGGCTTTTATAGGCATTTTTTTCCTACACCCTCTTCGGCGGAAGGGGTTGCAGAAAAAAATGCTTTGAAAAGCCTCTGGTGATCCCAGCTGAGCCGTGCGATCATCGGAGGCTTTTTTTTTACTTTTAAAAGCATTTTTATCAGCCGAAGTGGTTGTAGAAAAAATGCTTTTAAAAGTAAAAAAACCCCAGCCTCTGATGATCGCGCAACTCAGCTGGGTATGGGGGGGGCGCAGGAATTTTTGCTACCTGTTCTCTGAACCACCTGCCGCCATTGCTACAGGATCAGGTGATCCGGTCCGAACCGGGAGCATTTCACCCCTGCTCCACCACCTTCCAGAAGGTGTCGCCAGGTCACCAACACCCACTTAACAGCAAAGGTCTCCTTTTCCCAGATTGGCCAATTATGCTCAGTCTCTGTTAACTTTCATGACGTGTATGTACATGGCTGCAGTGCTCCCTCCTCATTCCTCTGTAGAAGAACTGCAGCCACAGTCACATCAGTGGCATCTGCCTGTATCAGAAACAGTTTTGCCGGATCTGGGTGTCGGAGGACCGGTTCTTTCGCAAAAAGTGATTTCACTTGTTCGAAGGCCCGATGACAATCTAGGGTCCATTGTATCGGACCACCCGGGCGTTATTTCCTCATCAGGTGTTTTGATTTTAGGAGGTCCGTGAGAGGCGGAGCCACTTGGGCAAACGTTGGGATAAACTGGTGTTAGAAGTTGGAGAACCCCAGAAAGCTTTGTAACTGCTTTCGGGTCTTAGGCACCTGCCAGTCTATCACCTGTCTCACCTTAGAAGGGTCCTCCATAATATGCCTCCCGGAGATCCAGTTTAGTAAACATGCTTCCCTCGGCCAACCGGGCCAACATGTCCTTCATTAACGGCAGTGGATACAGCTGTTTTATGCACACTGTTAATCCCTTGGAAATCCACACATAATCTCAACCCACCATCCTTTTTCTCTTGAAACAGGACAGGCGCAGCACTTGTTTTCACTAAAGGCGTCTTTTAGATCGGCCTAGACCTCTGGATAACCCAGGTCTCCGGGTTTCCCTGACTGTGTTAGAATATTATATTTCTCCAAAGAAGAAATGGAGAAACATGTTCTTAGAGGCAGAAAGCAGCCCCCAGTCTTTCTTAATAGCTTACAGCAGATGCTCATTAAGAAATCCTGGGAATATATATATTTTCTATCACTTTGCAAATGATCCCTCTGCAAAAGGATGCCCACAACCAGGGCCAGGTCAGGGGCGAGGAGGAACCAAGAACCTCCTTTGGCCTGAGCCTCAAGCTCCAGGTAGCTTCAAATTTAAACATGTTTGAAAGTTTCTAAATTTTAAAACATTAACATATTTAATGTTTCCCTTCACTCATTTTTGATGTCATTTTTTTTGCATAGCTGTCATCATGTCTCATTATGGTTAAGAGCTAAAAACCTTTAAAATGGCCAAAGCCTCTGAATCTTGGACTGTAATGCATAATCATGCATTCTGAACCCCTGTTCAGAATCTACCTCAGTGGGTTCTCTCAGAAGTGATGAAAGAATTACTGATGGATGATGGATTCAACAGCAAGAGGTAGATGTTGAGGCAGATGAAATAGATTAAATATGAGTGATGTAAGGAGATACAAGATCCCAAGGGAGGAGCATGGGAGATTTGTCAAAAAGTCAGTAAGAGTTGAAATACTAAAAAGGGCAAGAGATGATGGATAGATATAGAATACTTAAGATGGCAATTGCTTCATTAAGGGTTAGAAAACAGGTAGAAAATAGAAATTGGGAAAATAGTATTCATACATAATAGAATACATTATAATTACTATGTATACATAAATGTTAGAAGTTGAAAGGTATTATTATGTATATCTAAACAGTATTGTTATTAGTATTGTGTATAAAGTACATTGACCCAGACTGTTCACTAAGCACTTAGATATTTTTTTAAAAAACTATTTAAAAATTATATTTTAAAAAAATCTACCCCAATGGGGACTAATCATATTTATCAGCCGTGGATTTCTGATTATTTGGGGGAATAAAGTGGGACAGTAAGACAGGAAACAGAAGAACTTGGAAGAGCTTATGGCTTTGCTGGCTACCGCAAGAGTTCATTGCAAAGAATGTGACTTCTTTTTTCCTCTTGGAGATGTCTGATGCATAGAACCAAAGCCCCAGAAGGCAAGAAAGAGGGGGGCAATGGGTATGATTCTGAATATAAAAATAATAATAGTTTTATGTCATGATTAAGGATTAAGTGCAGATTAGAAATAAATATTAATTGAATTTCAATAGACAAAGAATACACATTAAAACTAATATGAGCTAAAGAGCAGAATAAGATAAAAGTTCCCCTCGCACATATGTGCCAACTCTAGGGGGAGGTGCTCATTTCAGTTTCAAAGCTGAAGAGCCAGCGCTGTCCGAAGACGTCTCTGTGGTCATGTGGCCTACATGGCTAAACGCCAAAGGTGCATGGAACGCTGTTACCTTCCCACCAAAGGTGGTCCCTATTTTTTCTATTTGCATTTTATACATGCTTTCAAACTGCTAGGTTGGCAGAAGCTGGGACAAATAATGGGAGCTCACCCCATTATTTATTTATTTATTATTTATTATTTCAGTTTGTATACTGCCCTACTCCCGAAGGACTCAGGGCAGTGAACAGCCATAGAATAAAACATATAAATACAAAATTTAAAATAAAATAAAACGAATTAAATAATTTGGCTGAAAATTTAAAACCCCAATAATTTAAAACCAAATTTAAAATTTCCATTTAAAA